ATCTGAAAATTGTAGCTTTTGTCTCACAATCACATTTATATAGTCCACTACTTCCTCCCCCAAATGTAATAAATATAGAATATTGTAAACATGTTTAAAAGAAGCACTGTCCTTATTATATCTCAAATGAAACACTGTTGTAGATGATCCTTTAATATAATTGGATTCTATAATAGAGTCCAATAAATTCTAAGTATTTTGAGGTTATAGTTTAAGATATATTGACACTATTGGTATATAAGTTAAAAATTTCTCCAGTAATCTAGGCAATATAGGAACCTGTAATTACTTATTTCACTTATTTCTTAACATCTGCATATCACACTGGTGTATGGATAACAAATATCTATACAAACAATTTGGGTCTTTCTTAAATTTAAAGGATTTAACAAGTTGTTCTCAGGTGTTCAAAATCTGAGAATGCTGCTGGTCAAAAAAATGTTGGCAAATATTGTCACTGTAAATAATGCTACTGGATTACATTGGGTAGATATTTGTCTCAACATAGAATATGTTTAAAATTCATTTGTTTAATGAACTACGAACAATATCTCCATTTCCACCTGATTTTTCCATATCATTTTTTTATATTTTTATCATATTATTAAAATTGGGTTTCCAATTTAAAGTATATTTAACAAGAGAAGAGAAATTTTGAATTCCATTGCAAAATTTTCTAACTGTTGCAATAATAATTTTCTGTTTCCAGAGTTTTAATGTTTAGATCCCAATACTGTCCATTGAGCTAATGGTGCTACATGTATATATTCCAAAGTAGCCCAGATCTGAAAATTAACACTTATTATTGGCCTCTAGAATTGTTCCCAGAATATAAATTAATCTAGGAAAAATGTTTGGAGGGAACTCACCTTTCCTCAAAAAGGAGTAATGAATCCCATTTTAAATGTGTAACTAAATGTGGAATCATGTCTATTACAGTCAGTATGATAATGGTAAGATGTTAGCCTAGGAGAAACTCGAATTTCAACGTATTCTCAACCACAGAAACATACTAGATGACTTTGGGTCACTCACACTCTTTCTGCCCATTCTACCTTACAGAATTCTTGTCATAAAGAAAAACAGGATGAAACACTATGCAAGGTCACCATGAGCTCTTGCACAAAAAGTGATACATAACTATAATAAATATACTGAGAAATGCATTATTCTGTACTGAGAATTTCATTTATTCTTCTGTATCATTGTATTCAGTCCTATTTCAGAAGATACAGCTAAACATGACTCTAATCTAGGTCATTATTTAGATTCAGCTTAGCACAGTATTAGAACCTGGTTGCTCTAGCCAAGATTAAAGCAAATTATGGCTTAATATAATAAGGGCATTTAACCTCTAAACCTAGAAACTGACTTGAATGATTGACTTTGCCATAGGATGAGGATGAGGACCTTAGGCAATTACAATTTCTGAGCCCAATTTCTCCATTTTACTCATAGGACTTAACCATCTTTATAGATTTAATGGGGACAATACTTTTGTAATTTCCTGGGTTTGGAGAATTTCTTACATTAAAAGTGTTACATGAATCTTCAAAGTTATCCTAGAGTCTTGCTGTATAGTCTGCTCCAAAGTGGTATGAAATTTTGTCATAATTTCACACTTGTAATTGAGAGTAATTCGGGAAAAATCACAAAAAGAAGCTATACTCTTCAGGTTAAATTTGTTCTGTATGATATGAAAATTTAGTCTGTCCTGATTTATATGCTTCTGATAAGGTATTAAATCCACTATGGAATGGATAGCAGTAAATATACTATTTTTACTTTTTGAAATTTTAATTGTTTAAACCTGGGTATTTCACTTCTTAAAATGTTTGATTCTTGATAACAAGGTTTTGGGTTCACTAGATCATGTGATAAGTTACAGATGCTCCAAATGATAAATGTACTGTGTTTTTTGCACTGTAAGATGCTCCGGACCATAAGACGCACCTAGCTTTTGGGGAGGAAAACAAGAAAAAAAATCTGCCTCTGCCTCCCAGCATCCATCGGTATTCATCTGGCTAGTGTCCTTGCAGCAAACAGCAAACAGTCTGGTCAGCTTCAGCACATTATTACAGCCTGATTTAGCACGAGCAGCTGATTGGTGGTTGGATCGGCCCCCGGAACACTGCTGATCAGCCGTTCCAGGCTGTGGGGATTGCCGATGCCTATCACTAATGCCTATTGCTGCCTCCGCATACCCCGTTTTCAGCCTCTGCGTGCCCCGTTTTTGGCTTCCATGTGTCCTGTTTTTGGCCCATTCTGGGTGGCAGGGATCACCACCACTGCCGCCTGGAACGAGCAGGCCAGAAATGGGACGTGCAGAGGCTGAAAATGGGGTGCATAGAGGCTGAAAACATGTCTCATGAAAGCAAAAAATGGGGTGCGCAGAGGCCAAAAACAGGCAAAGAGTGGGGGTTGGTGGGTGGGCAGGGCTTTGGCAACATTTGTTCTATAAGATGCACAGACATTTCCATCCACTTTTTTGGGGGGGAGTGTGTCTTATAGAGCGAAAAATATGGTACTTTAAAATAAAAGTGAAATAGAATATTTATTTTATTTTATTTATTGATTAGTCAAACATGTACAAGATACCAGATATGCGTATGAATAGGGACATGAACAAAGGAAATGAATACAAATAAATTGACTTACAGGAAAGTTGTGTTGGAGTTACATTTGCATTTTGGGCTGTACAATGTTGTATTATTTGCTTCATCTTTTTTGCAGAGTATTTCACAGTATTTTCAAGATGATTACATTAGAGAGAAATGTTGCATAGCAATAAGGAATCATTCTAGTTCACAGTATGTGTGCAGCAAACTTATCTAGCAAGGCAGCCTGTGCTGAACTGAAATTAATAAGGAAAATAGCATAGAAACATAGAAAACAGACTGCAGAAAAAGAGCCAATGATCCATGCAGTCTGCCCTGTGAGGATTTTTGTTGTTTTAATATTTTCAATTAATTATATTTTATTTTTAGTTTTTTGCAGTTAGCCAAAAGTTCAGATTGGGTTTCCCATTTTATTTTTTACTTAGCACTTGGATGATAGACATGTTTTTCACCCAAGCATATTTAAACTCAGTTACTGATGACTGATGAACCTACCTCTACTGAGAGTTGGTTCTGACCCTCCCCCTAAACTTTCTGTGAAGTAACACTTTATAATATTATTTTTGAATTTCCCTCCTCCTAGTTTGAGATGTACCTGTTTTTTATTTTTGCTAAAACTCTTCAAAAACCCAGTGCCTAAAACTCTTGCTTTCTGCCATTTAAAAATGTAGCATTTTTACAGAATTAGCTTAATACAATTACAGTCATGCCAACATGTTTTCACAAGAAAGGATAACATGGCATTTTAAATTTAATCATTTTTCAGGCTTTTTGTCATTCTAAGTTACTTTCAAGAGGTTGGTTCAATTTTCAAAGACTCTATTGTGTTCGGCCCCAACATGTTCAGTTTTTTAAAACCTTTTCTTTACAAAATTATTATGCACCTGGGTCACTTTTTCCATTGCAAAAGCTAACCAAATGTTTGTCCTGTTAAACAATTCCATAATGCGAATAGCAGTAGAAGACAAATCAGGATGGGATGGAAGAGATGAGTTGTTGATGGCAAAGGAAATCCTCTCCCTCTTAAGCAGCCCTTTCAGGTGAGGGTCTGCAAAAGAGGAATTTCTGTACCTCCACTGAGGCAATCAATGCCAGCCTGGGTCCCACCTTCTGCTCAATGGAAAAGAGGGTTGTAAACCCGTTTTCTTTCGCTGTTGAACTGTATAGAGTAATATGGAGCCCAGAGGGCTCGAAACGGGTGAAACAGAACTGAACATAAATTAGTCTCTGAGCATATGCAGAATGCATCTGTTTCCTGATGACCTGAGCCAGCATTAGAAGGGAAGAGCTGGCAGATCGCAAGTTCTGCAGCTTCCTTTTCAGCCGCGGTTCTCCGACCTGCTTTCTTCACAGCCAAAGAGAAAAACTACAGTAATTGGTTAATAAACTCTTTCAACTTTGATCTGTTTGCAACTTGGGCATATCTTCCTCTGGCGAAAGAGGAAGAGTCCAAATCTCAGTCTTTAACCACTAGACTGCAATCCCCTTTCCAGGCCTTCAATTACATCATTTGATTTAGCGAAAGGAGTACCTTTATGCCTTTAAGACGGAACTAGTTTCGAATTTCGGTTTGTTTACAACTTCCTCCACGTAGATCAGTCACCATCATAGGTTAACATAGCTGGGTTTTTTTACACAACTAGTAGTGACCTTCCGCCAGCAAGGGCTTCCTACTCAACTCTCCTGTCCAAATCTTTTTTGCCACTAGATGACATTACTGCTGTCCCTAAATTCTCGAATAGTTACTGAAATTCCTCAATCTTAAACGAGTGACTCATTATAAAATCATCTAAATCTTTAAAGTTACATTGGAACTACTTTGTGGGCACTACCATTTTTTTTCGAGGGGTAAGTTACGAAGCTATTTTCCTTCAACGGTATTATGACAGATAAAGTGCCTGAGGTGACATTCATTTGAAAATGAGTTCCAGGAGGACTCAAAAAGGCCGATTTAATAAGCGTTAAGATTTCAAGATTTTCATAAATATTTGGTATATTCCAATTCCCACCTCCTACACCGCCTCCAACTATTCGCCTCTGATTGGTTCATTTAGTATTGAAGAACTCCCATTATAGCCATTGATGTTTTAGTTATTTAGGCAGCCTACCAGAGAGGGCTTCCTTGTTGTCCCAGCCCTCCTTGAATATTGATTGGCTAAACAACAGTCCCTTGCCGCGATTCTGGGAAGGGTAGTCATTGTGTTAAAAGAGAACTGGGCAATCGATCGGAAGGAGAAACCACAAATCCCGAGATACCTTGGGTCCAGGAAAATGAGATGCGGCTGCGCACTGCGTTGAAGGGGCTGGTTCGTTTATATAAGGCGAGGAAACGCGCTAGGAGTAGCAGTTGAGAACTGGCGGCGCTTGAGTAAGGGAGGAAAGCGGTGGAAGGAGGGGTGGGGTTAACTGCAAGGGAGGGGGTGATTCGAACTTTGGGTGTGCGTGGAGGAGCCAACCTTCCCTCAATGAGTTAACTCTTTCCTCTCCGAGGAGAAAGAAACCATCTTTAACTCGTTCGGGACTGGAGAGTTTTTCGTAGCTGAAGCTTGGGACGGAAATATTTTTCAAGTGATTTTTGAAGTCCAGATTGTTGAGAAAAGAAGATCTGTTACACACAGAGACTCTTGGCATTGGAATTGCCTTCAACTTTTTCGTGCCTGAATTGTTAACCCTTGATTGTGTGGATTTGGACATTTAACATTTTTATCACCTACGCTGGAGTGAGAACCCTGCTGCTTAACTCTTCAGTGGCCTTTTGCCTCTCGTATCTTCATTTTATACATACATATATATATAATTATTGTTGCGTACCAGGTGTCTCAAGGACATTCTGACACTCTTGCGGTGGCTCGTTCTTTAGCTGGAACTCTCTCTTTTTGGCCTTTAATCTTTTTTATAATTTGAGATGTGCATCTTTTCTACAGTGTGACAAACAGGAGAAGTAGAAACTGGAGGGAAAAAAACGGATGCTACCACACTTCTCGGAAGGTAACGAACATTTAAAGACTGACCAAGACAAGCTTGCCGGTCTTTTTTTATTCCTGAAAAGTTTTAATGTTTGTAACACTCTAGAATTTTAAGAAAGAGGAAGAAAGGCTTCCAGATTAATACTCCTGATAACTATTAAGCAGTAAGAGTTCTGTAAAGGCTTGCAAGTTGAGCTGAAGTGTTTTAAAAAAGTATTTGATTTCTCAGAAATTTTGTGAAGCTGGCAGCCCCAGCACTATCCAGCAAGGCACTGTCCGCTAATTAAATTCTCCCTCCTTCAAGAGAAGAGGGAGTCGTCAACGCCTTGGACTTACTAGCCAACAATCTCCTTCGGGCTGAGGAAATTGTTAAAAGCACCAGCTATGGCTGATGCTGCCTTCTCTGCCAATCTGAGGCAACAACCTAATGGCAAAACACCTTTCCCCCCTTGCAGGGGTGCAGGTGGGGGAGACTCTGGTGGAGGGGGGCCTTTTGTTGGATCTCCACCCACTAACCAGGAACTTCTCCAAGGAAGAGAGATTGCCGATAGGTGGCAGCCAAGAGAGATGGCTAAGCAGGATGGCAGGATGGTCAGTGCTGATGTTGCCTTCCCTGATGCAGAACTCACAGTTCCTGTGGTTGGAGAAAGCCAAAGTCTGGTTGCCCCAGGGATCAATCAGATTGAGGACCAGGCATTTGGTGCAGCTGCAGACACCCAAGATGCAGGGGATGGAGAGCAACCAGACCTACAGGAGCAGGAATACTGTGGGTCTTTTGACCAGAGTTGCAGATCCCAGTCTGGTGGAGAAGAGGAAAAACAGCTGGGCAAAAAGAAACATAGGAGGCGCCCTTCAAAGAAGAAGAAACATTGGAAGCCTTATTACAAACTCAGCTGGGAAGAGAAGAAGAAGTTTGATGAGAAGCAGAGTCAACGGGCTTCCAGGATGCGGGCAGAGATGTTTGCTAAAGGACAGCCTGTTGCACCATACAACACCACACAGTTTTTGATGGAGGATCATGATCAAAAAGAACCGGATTTGAAGACAAGCCTTTATCCCAAAAGATCTGCCACCAAGTCAGATGAAACCAGTGAGGAAGAGTTTGTGGAAGAAGAGGATGGGGGTAGTGATGGGATGGGAGGGGATGGTACTGAATTCCTTCAGAAAGATTTTTCAGAGACATATGAGAGATATCATGTAGAGAGTCTGCAGAATATGAGCAAACAGGAATTGATCAAGGAATATTTGGAGTTGGAGAAGTGTCTTTCCAAGATGGAGGAGGAGAACAACCGCCTACAGATGGAGAACAAGAAATTTTCAGGGGACTCAACAGAGGACCCCAGGGTAAGTCAGTTAGTAGAGGAACTGGACAAGTTGAGAGCTGAGAACCAGAAACTCTTGAAAGAAAAGGAACCTGGCAGAGAACAAGAGAACAATTTCTCTAAACTGGGAGAATAAAACTGAACATTTTCTGAGGACATGTGGAATTGGACAGAAACCATCCCAAGATGCTGTATTCATATTGTGGGAGTACATGTGTGTATGTGTACACACACACACAGACACACACACAAACAGGACTTTATGTGATCTAATCAGAATAAATTCACAATCTTACACTGGTTTTGAAGATAGTTCTAATATAGTGCGTGCTCTTTTTTTAATTATGTGTAATCAAGGGGTTTGGGATTTGTTTTTTAAAATAAAGAACACAGAACATCCAGCATTCCTAGGAAAATTTCTAAAAGTTCATCGGACTCATACAGAAACAGAATTTGTGATCCTTGTAAAGGAGAGACATTGGTGAAGAGGGATGGGGCACGGGAAGGGACATGTAAAATAGTCACATTCTGGAAAAAACGCTATCCTGATTCATGAAGAGAGTTTAAATAAAGTGAAGGTCATGTCAGCATAATTATTCTGGTGTGATTTCTAGAAAAATAATTCAAAATATTTTCTTTTGGCAGAGAATATTGTGAATAATTTTTCCAGGCAGCATTTAGATATTGCTTTAAAAAAAATATGAATTGGAAAGAATGAATTGTTTTAAGCCTTTGTGTGGTTGTTCTAATAGAAGACCAAAGAGAAACATCACAGTCATCCAAAGTTACTTTATTTACTAGAGCATTCTTTATATGTTTTATAATTATGGGGTGGGCAGGGGGTAAATTGCCAAAGCAAGTTACTTTATTTAGCTGCTCTTTTTGGCTCCACACCAAACCTGCATGGTAAGTCTCTGTTCCCATCTTTATACTTTGGAGTCAGAGGATGGGCAGGTATGACCTGCCCAAGGCAGTAGAGGTGGAGCATTCAAATCCTGTTGCACAACTACTGTTTTCTATAACTGAAAATGTTGCATAGGGATATTGCTATTTATCCACAAACCCTTTTGCTGCTTTAATAAGTAATTATTAGATAATGTTTGAGAAGGAAATGGCAAATCGCCTTTCTCAAGTTCAGGCCTTAGTTTGGATAGGATGAGATGACTTAGTTGTGCTAATTTAGATCAATAGCAAAAAAGAAGTTTTCCAATGGCCAGCCCAGTTAGTAGTATGCAATGACTTTTGTGTGTGTTTATTTTGTTGGCTAAATTGATATAGTCACCTATCTTACAAAACAAGTTTTGCCAGATATTCTGCCCTTAGTTTAGTAGCCTAGCTCACTTTCTTCAACTATACGGACAGTTTATCTATATGGGAAGCCTAATCCCACCCACCCCCCATGATGATAATGCAAACATAAAGAGGATCATGTGTACTTGCAGACATTATGAAAACTACTGCTATGATCCTATGCATCAGGTAGCCTAGTTCATAATTTTAAAAGAATCATTTTCTATTAGAAATGTCATCTGAGGCTGATGGGAATAAAATCTAAGCAATCGTAGGATCTGCCACAGTTATGGTAGCTTCTTTTAATGCAACTCCCACTTGAAATTGAGAATTGCTTTCAAATGAACATAGAGAAATTCTTACTTGGGTAGCTTCTTTATTGAAGCTATAAACTGGATAGGGTTTGGTTTTTGTTTTTGTTTTTTTGGTGTTGAATGTTACGGAATGGAAGGTGGGATTGTTTTGTGCTCCCAACACTATTCCATTAACTTTGCAAAAGCAAGTTACCATTTTGATGAATTCAATCTTCAAAAATGTGTGAGCGGATTTAGTGAATACAGACTTTGGCCTTTGCCAAAAAACTTGTATTTCATTTTACTCTATTCTGGTACATACTCAGACTTGGCATAGACATAATGCTGTCCAATTTTATAGTATACTCCCATATTTTATATCTGTCTTCCCTCCTAATAATAAATTGTCCCTCCTTATTTTTAAAAGCAAAGAAATGTATTTAGCATATTAGACAACTTTGTTTAGGTACTAATAATCTGTAAATATTTATGGCTTGTCTTATAAACCACTTGGGTGTTTTAAGAAATAGAGAAACTAAATTTAAAAATAAAGCCAATACAAAGCAAAACTGGTGATCTTTAAATGGTCAGTGCTAACCCAACCATTAAGATATGTAAGGAACAATTCAAATCTTTGTTTTCTATTTGAAGCAATCATGCCTAACTTCCCTAGGAAGCTGTACCAATATTGAGGGGCACTGTAACAGAAAAAAGGCCTCACTTCATGCCTACCAGTCTTCTGGAAGAGAATCTAGAATGGAGCCATGACTAAAAAATGGGGTGATATTCAAACCCCTTAATTAAAAATACTGATTAAGTATTGATTAGGACAACAGATGGCATTGAGTTTAATTGTGAAAATGGCAAAGAGGCAGTCATGGACTTGCCTAGAGGGCATTCTAGATTTCTTAACCAAAATGCACAACTCTCTGCAATGATTAGATAAATTTCATGTTTCAGAGTTGCATTGGCCACTGAAATATTTCTGCATTAACAGATAAAAATGAGTTGCTTGGGCAATTCCCTTCCAGGGTAGCCTAGAAACTGGGAAGGATGACATAGGAATTGATTGATCTTTTACCCAACTGGAGTCCCAGAATCATTTGGTGGGCATGATCATTCCAGGTTGTAGGTACATCCTGGTTCAAGAGTGCCACCTAATTATTTTCTGAGACCAATTCAACCATTGGTTCTCCCCTTCTTCATTTGTCCCATGGATACTTTCCCTACCATGCTACTTTCTATCTTTCACTTCTCCCCTTCACTAGCCAAATTGTTTTAGACTTGATGATTGTCTTAATCCCCCCCCCCCCACACACACACGGACACCTAGGGAATATAAGACAATGTTGGGTAGTAGGTTTATTCCACAATTGAAGCTTGACAGACAAAGCCAGCCTTCTGAAGGCTATAAATCAATCTTACTGCTCGGTAGTGGAGGTTGAGATGTCTAAGCATTCTTTCTTAGAAAATGGGAGGAAGTTGATTGGGTGAAGATTTGGCAGTTTTTGGAAGGGGCTTTCCAGCCTCTGCCAGAGGAGGGACTCATTCAAATTTGGGGGAAATTCAAAAGCAGCTCTCTGCCTTGTTTTGGGAAGGGTGTTTTAGGAGTCGATGTAATGTCATCCAGACCTCTTCAGCTGCCAAACTGCAGGAAGGGTGGAACTTCAACTGTGATACAAGGGAGAGGTCTGGAAGTTTTAGTTGGTGCCTTCTAGAATGAAATACTGCTTGTATCTCTACTCCAAGTCAACAGATGGTAGAGCTCTTCTGAAAGGAAGTGGTCGGGCTGATTACATACCTTATAAGAGGAAGCCAGACAAAATAACTTGCTATTTCATTCAGAACTACCCAACTTGGTTTTGAAATCATAGTCTAATTTCTATATCCTTCATTTTCAATAATTAGGAGGAATATATTTATAAAAAGTAGCATTTTTTTCTCAGCCCAACTTTTTGTGGTGTAAGATATATGAATAAATATGTTTCATAGCTGCAGAAGCTGTAGAATTCTATGCAATTCTTAGCTCCTGCTTAGAGTCAGTGTGGATCTGGAAATAGTTTTGTTGCCTCTGAATTTTTTCCCCTGTGGGGATTGGCAAAATTTGTCCATAGCAAGACTTTTGTGCCTTTCAGCCTAAGGAATTCAAATGTTGAAATTTATGATTAAAAATCCACACATACAAGGAGTCTAGACTTTTTTTGTTTTTGCTAATCGGAGCAACAAAATATACTGAAATATGTGTGTTTGTGTACAGTTTGTGCAATCTTTTGGGATCTTTTTTTCTGACTAAGGTAAAGGGAATTTGGCATAACATTTGCGTTCATTTAAAATTCCTGTGTTTGCAAGTAAAATGTAAGAAGGAAGTTTTACTCATATTTCCCAATGTTCACCCCTTAAAGGAAATAGTGTTTTTTTTCCAATGAACATTTGAATTACACCATAGCCACAGTTTAAAACATAGTGAATGGTATCAGCGTTTTACAAATTACTCCAACGCCAGCTCCCTGGAAGTCAAACAGGTTTAATAATAAACTCACAAGCCAGTTTGGGGTCCTGAAATGGTGCTGCTTACAAAATCCAATGGGCTAGCAAGCTTTATGATTTTTTGAGAAGAACAATAAACAGTTTTACAATATATTATTTTCATATTCTTATAATTAAAGAAACATTTGCTGAAATGTTAAAAGAGATTTGAATATTTTTATCAAAATGATGACATGATTATCTTAATTGGAAATGTGTACAATATAGTTTGAACTTGAAAAGACTGCCTTATCAGGCTCATCTTAATCCTGTTGTTAGACATAAGATATCCAAGATGGAATCATTTGGGTGCAAGTGACAAAGGACATATAAAACTGAATTAAGGAAGCCTACCTGGTGGGAGTAAATTAGCACCATGCACTTGCTGTAAACAAAGCCATTTTTTCCTTAATGTGCAAAAGCACATAATCTGGGTGGTTTACCTTCTAATCCTGTTTCAATAAACTGTGAAAGGAAAGAGGCAAACACCCTCAGCATGGATATGCTTCACTCATTACTGCTCAGGCTAATAGTTCATCTCTTCCTTCTGCACAGTCTGAACACCAGCTGGGCTCTAAAAGCCCAAGTGGCATCATGGCTGAAAGTACAGAGGCCTACCCAACCTGGGTTTGCAGAAATCTGGACAACAACTATACATCAAGAAAGCAACGCAGTAAAAAGTAAAGTCTCTGGTGCTGACTTGTATTTATTTAATGATCTGCTATTGCAGTCTGTCTCAATCTTGGCAAGTTTTAAAAAGTATGGATTTCAAGTCCCAGAATTCCCTACTAGCATCCCAAGGAATTCTGGGAATTGAAGCCCACACCTCTTAAAGTTGCCAGGATTGAGAAACACTGTGCTATGGTATCTGGTACATGATGCAAAATGTGTTGTGGCAGTTTTATTCCTACTGTGAAAGACATTAATTCTATAACTGTTTAAATCTGTTTGACATAAAACTTAACAGCTTCATATGTGAGATTACTTCTGAGCACTGATGGCTATGAAAGTGCTATCCCAACAACAACACAAACCTACTTTGCCAGTGTTAACTTGTCTACTTGCTTCTTCAAATATGTTGCAGGGCATAGTACAAACTGCTGTTTTTGATCTTTAAAGCTTTTAAGGCCTGAGCTCAGGTCTCTATGATAGTGTCTCCATTGGAAGCCTCCTTGTTCAGTGCTATTACCATCTAAACCCTGGCTGAAAATATCCATACCTTTTGAAATATTCTCCCTTGCTTTTGGTTAATAATATAATCTCACACCATAGCTGATTTTTCTGACTTTAATATGTTAGTAGTGGATCAATTATATATTGCTTAGCAGCTTTGAAGCTCTATGAGAAAATGAAATGCAAAAATATTTGAAATATTCCATTAATGCTTTTTTTAATAGAACCTTATTTCATGTGGTAAATGAGTTCATCAGAGAGAAAACAAATATCCGGTTGACCCAATTTATCAAAAGTTGTAAGAG